CGCCGTCCCCAGGCCCAGTTGGACGCTCACACCGCTTCCATCCGCGAGCAGGGCTCTCGCCTCGACGCGCGCGATGCTGAGTTTGGGCGCATGCGGGCTCAGCTTGATGAATTTCGCAAGCTTCTGGCTGTTGCTGAGCAGCGGCGTGCGGCTCCTGTGGCTGCCCCAGACGGTTCCGACCGTGACCTTGATGCCTCCATCTTGGCCGCTGTGGCCCAGCGGGCAACGACGCTCGTCTCTGGGCTCACCTTCACGTCTGACGAGCACGAGATCGAGGCGCGGGGCCAGGTCCCCACTAGGTGCCTCGTGGTGCAGTTCGCTGGCATGGGCGGCCCAGCGGCGAGGAAGGTGATCCGTGCCCTCTCTGGCCTCAAGCAGGGCGGCTCCTGGCGCGAGTCCACAGTCGCTCTCCCTGGCTCCGACGTGGACGCCCGCTTGCACTTCGGCCCCGACACGTCGCCCAAGCAGATCAAGACGCAACTCGCTTTGCGCCGCTGTCGCGCGGCCATCGCCGAGGGCATCCTTGCCCATCACATGTTGCGCAGCCACCGCCGGAGGGGCATCCTCTCCATTGGCTGGGACAATGTGCTGCGGGTGGAGCGGGCCCTGGCGGATTATCCTCCTGCTCTCTTCTGGGACTCCGATCGCCCGTCGAAGCACGGGCTCTCCAAGGACGCCATGGTGCGCGCGACCGCCCCCATCGCGGCAGCCCAGGAGCCCGTCAATCGGCGCCCTTGACGCCGCGCAATATTCGAGCGTTCGCGCCCCCCCTCAAACCTTGCGGCCTCTCCGCTACGACGTTGCACCCGGAACTGCCGAGCTCTTCTGCTTCAAGCTGCGGGTGGGAGGCCCAGCTCGAAAAAGCAGTACTTGTCTCGACTCGCCCCTGGCTGCGCCGTGGCATATCTTCAAGAAGTTCACCGCGTCGAAGCTCAGCTTCGTCGATGCGTGGCTGTTACCCCTCCTGGCGCGCAGGTCTACACGAGTTCTTGCGGCGATGGCCGCGCGGATCGCAGTCGCGGCGGCGCGGCCATCCCCCTCCCCCGGCTTGCCCAGGCAGCGGGAGATCCATCCGGAGGAGGAGCAGAAGGAGGCGGAGGAGCAGGAGGAGCAGGAGGAGGAGGAGGAGGAGGAGCTTGTTCAGATCTAGCAGGTGGCTCCTGTGCATGGGCGTGTCGTTCTTCTTCGGGGGCCTGCGGGCTCGCGGGCCGCCCTGCGTCGCGAGCGCGCGCGGCCACGACTGGACGGTTGCCGAGGTGCGCTCCGCTACGGCTGCGATCAACGCGGAGCTGGCCGCGGCTACCGCCGCACCCTGCGACCACCTCGCGGTCGCCAATGGGGACTTCATGTTCTCGTGCGAGGAGGCGCTCGTCGCGGGCGCACCCGCGGCCGGGGCCTCTCACGCCGCACGCCGTCGCCCTGGTCGCGCTTCATTGCGGGGGCAGGTGCTGATCAAGATTGCGGAGATCCTGGGCAGCGGGGCGACGCACTACGGGCGCGCCCCTGGTTGGGCTGCCGCCGTCGATCGGGTCTCCGTCTCCTTGCAGCGTTGGCAGATCTGCCAGCTGCGCGCGCGCTCGGCGACGGCGGGGGTGGCCGCCGAGGTGTCCGGCTATCTCAGACCACGTCGCGGTCGCCGTCTCATCTACTTCTCGTGCAACTCGTCCTCCTGCTCAGCGATTGGCGCCGAAAGCTGTTTGACAGGATCCCCCGTTTCGCGCTCGCCTTCGCGGCCTGGTCGGATCGGTGGATCGGCAGGGCGCGCCGCCCCCCATTCGTCTGGAGCGGCACAGAGAATTACTGCGAATCGCGGGGGCGGAATCCAGAGGTCCTGCGCGAGGCCTCCGCGGCTCTCGACTCCGAGTCGGCACGGCTGCGGTCTCCAATTGGGAAGCATATCTGTCTGACATCTCTTCGTCGTCCTGGTGGCGCCAAGGCTGCTGGCCCGCGCGATCGCCCGGGCGCCCCTGCCGCGCGCTGCCGCCCTGCCTTCTCTCGCAAGCCGCGGGGCAAGGAGGTTGCGCCCTCATGCGTTCCCCAATGGCTGCCGCCAATCGCCGACGCGCATCCCCCACCCCCCGCCATGCACGCGCCGAGGAAACCGAATCGCTCCGCCCGCGATTCAGCGCCCAGGGTGGACGGCTGACCGCGCGCCGCACGGTCTGCCGACAAGTTCGGCGCGACGGTCTTGATGGACGCTCTGGGCCGGGTGCGTTCGTGGCGGGCGCTCTCTCGCGATGCGCCGACGACGCTGCGGGCGTTCCTTCCGCCGTCTCTGACCAGGGGCGGGCCCAGGGAGAGTGCGCGCCCGTTCTGCCGACAAGGTCAGAGTGCCGGGGTTGCGCAGCACTGACAGCAAGTTTCTGTCGTCGGCGACGAATCGCGCCACCCCCCCCGCGCTGTAGGTTGTCGCCCCCCTGTGCTGGCAGGGATTCGTGCCTCGACATATCTTGGAGCTCGACAGCTATCGCCGACGCCGCCGCTCTCTCGGGACTTGCCCCTCCTGGCCCCCCCTGGACGTCGGCAGGGCTTTCCCGCCCCTGAATCAGGAGTTCGTGATTTTCATCCTTCAGCACCTCGGTGTCCCTGAGGCCTTTTACGCGTCTGTGAGCTTCCTGCGCGCCGCGATTGGGGGCGTCGCCTCGTCGGGCGGGGGGCGCCTCGATCTTCTGGGCTCGCAGTGGCATTATTCAGGGCCGGGGGCTCTCGGGGTCTTTATGCCATCGCGTCGGCCGCCTTCTCGCGGGATCTCGCGCACTGCGTCGAGCGCCTCCGACGAGGCCTCGCGCGGGCCTGCGCCGACGACATTGGCGGAGCCATCGCGCGCGTCTCCGACCTCCTTGCCAGCTCGAGCCTCAAGGCCACCAAGTGCCTCGCGGTTCCTCTCTCTGGGTCCTACAGCGCCGCTCTCGCTATGGACGCCTCGACTGCAATCGTTGGTCTGGTTCCCGAATGGGCCTCTTTGGGGGCAGCTGCCGAGTTGCTCTACTTTGGCATTCGGATGGGCCCTGGTGCCACGGCGTCCAGATGTTGGGCCGATCCCGTGGCCGTCCTCTTTCTCGCGGCGGCTCGAGCTATCGGCCGCGGCACGACGCCCCCGAGCGTCTCGGTGCATATTTATTTCACGCGCGCTGTCTCCACAGAATCATACGAAGCGCAGTTTCGGCAGCCACCCTCGGACATGCGGCGACTGGGCCCCCCCGTCCTCGCTCAAGTGTTTCGCATTGTGCTGAGCGCGTTCTCTCTGGCGGCGCGGTCTCTTCCCGGGCTTCGGGGTGGACCTCGCATTGTCCGATGGGATCTAGCGTGCATGGCGGCGCTCCGCGCGGGTCACCTTCCCCGAGCACGCGGTGGTGTTGGAGCGCCCGCGCTGTTTTGTCGCTGACCCCTCCGACTGGCGCACGCTTGACACGTTGGCCTCAAACTGCCCCAACTTCTGGAAGTCCGAGGCCCTCGTTGAGACTCCTGCTGCTGCTGCTGCCGACGGGGCCGGCGATCCGCTGCTCGGCGTGGCCTCGGAGGCTGCGCGGCGCTAGCTCGCCAGCGCCTTCCTTCTGAGCCTTCACAGAGGACTCCTGTCGAAGGACGCCAGAGCGCGAGGGTTTCTGAGAAGAGTCCCTCCGCCTTCGGAGAAGGCCCGCTCCTTCTCCTCCTCCTCCTCGTCCTGATCATCCTCCTCCTCCTCCTCCTCCTCCTCCTCCGCCTCCTCCCCCTCGTGATCCTCCTCCTCTCTCCCTCCTCCTCCTCCTCCTCCTCCTCCTCCTCCTCCTCCTCCTGCTCCTGCTCCTGCTCCTGCTCCTGCTCCTACTCTTTTCCCTCCTCCTCCTCCTCCTCCTCCTCCTCCTCCTCCTGCTCCTCCTCCTGCTCCTACTCCTTTTCCTCCTCCTCCTCCTCCTCGTCCTCCTCCTCTCGTCCTCCTCCCCCTCCTCCTTCTCCTCCTCCTCCTCCTCCTCGTCCTCCTCCACCTTCTCGTCAACATTTGCAAGAGTTTCACAGATTGAGGGCGACCCGTTTTCAAAATGTGTTTCTCGCTTCAGCGCCGCGCACATACGTTTGAAAGATTCTCAAGTTGTTCGCTGTTCGCAGATTGAGGGCGACCCGTTTTCAAAATGTGGTTGTCGCCGTAGCGCCGCGCACATTATTTCTGAGAGTTTGCAAAAGTTTCACGGGTTGAGGGGGACCCGTTTTCAAAATGTGGCTCTCGCCGGGCACATTCATGTTTAACAGGTGCTAGAAGTTCACGGGTTGAGGGTTGCTCCTTTTCCAAAATGTGGTTCATGCCTTAGCGCCGCGCACATTTGCTTATAAAACTTGCAAGAGTGTCACGGCATTCCTGGATCAAAGTACCAGAAATTGCGTATTGGAAGGATTCTGGATTTTCTGGGCGCGACAGTTACGTTGATTCGCGGTGTTGAAGTTCCAAGAGTGGCGTTCTGGCGCGTTTCGGGATCGTCAAACGCAACAGTCAGGTTCACCCATGGCCCCATGGCGTTGGATTCCCGAGAACAATGTTTTGGCATGCTTCAGGGTCTTCAAACGGTTGTCTTCCAACGAAGCAGTTTTCCAAATGGAAATGAACCGTTGTAGGGGCCTGCGTAGAGGGAGCTGGGAGGGGGGGGGGATCCAACATCGCTCATGGTTGTTGGGTTTTCACTGGCCCTCCTCCTCCTCCTCCTCCTCCTGCCCCTTCTCCTCCTCCTCCTCCTCCTCCCCCTTCTCCTCCTCTTCCTCCTCCTACTCCTCCTCCTTGCTCCTTCTCCTCCTCGCTCGTCGCTCCTCCTCCTCCTCCTCCTCCTCCTCCTCTCCTCCTCCTCCCTCCTACTCCTCCTCCTCTCCTCCTCCTCCTCCTCCTCCTCCTCCTCCTCCTCCTTCTCCCCTCCTCCCCCTCCTCCTCCTACTCCCTCTCCTCTCCTCCTCCTCCTCCTCCTCCTCCTCCTCCTCCTCCTCCTCCTCCTTCTCGTTCCTGCTCCTCCTCCTGCTCCTCCTCGCCGCCGAGAGAGGTGGTCCGCAACCCGGAGCGCTTCCGGAAGGTCGGGGCGACGCCCCCCAAGGGCGTCCTCTTCTGCGGGGAGCCCGGCACGGGCAAGACGTACGCCGCCCGCGCGGTGGCCTCGGCGGCCGGGGTGCCTTTCCTGGCCGTCTCTGGCAGCCGGGGGCAGCGACAGACCCAGACCCCCTCGGGTCATGAAGAAATCACGACAGGATGTATTGCCCCTCGTTCTTCGCTCCTCCTCCTCCTCCTCCTCCTCCTCCTCCTTCTCCTCATCCTGCTCCTCCTCCTCCTCCTCCTCCTCCCTCCTCCTCCTCCTCCTCCTCCTCTCCCTCCTCCTCCTCCCTGTTCCTCCTCCTCCTCCTCCTCCTCTCCTCTCCTCCTCCTCCTCCTCCTCCTCCTCCTCCCCTCCTCCTCCTCCCTCTCCTCCTCCTCCTCCTCCTCGTCCCTGCTCCTGCTCCTCCTCCTTCTCCTCCTCCTCCTCCTCCTCCTCCTCCTCCTCCATTCTTGTTCCTGACAACTAATTTCTCCCTGTCGCACCCCGAGGCCAGATTTTAGGGTGGGCTGGGCGTTTCGCCTGAGACTTCCTCACTATCTCTTACCCTGAAGCTTAAAAAGTGGCAAGAGTTGCACAGATGGATGGCGGGTGGTTTTCAAAATGTGCCTCTCGCCAGAGCGCGACGCACACTCGGTTTAAAAAAAATGCAAGAGCTTCACGGATTGAGGGCGGGTCGTTTTCAACATGTGTTTCTCGCCTTAGCGCGGCGCACATTCGTTTTAAAGACTTACAAAAGTTTCACGAATTGAGGGCGGGTGGTTTTCAAATTGTGGCTCTCGCCTTAGCGTGGCGCACATTCGTGTAAAAAATGCTAAAGTTGAATGAATTGAGGGCGAGTGGTTTTCAACATGTCACTCCCGCCTTAGCGCAGCGCACAGTCGTTTTAAATATGTGCGAAAGCTTCACGGATTGAGGGCGGTTCCTTTTTCAAAATGTGGTTCTCGCTTGAGCGCGGGGCATTTTGGTTTTAAAGATGCACATTCGTTCCAACAATTTGCAACAACAAAAAAATCACGGATCGAGGGCGGGTGGTTTTCATTATGTGGTTCTCGCCTCAGCGCGGCGCACATTCGGCTTAAAGATTTGGCAAAAGCTTCGCGGGTTGAGGACGCGTGGTTTTCAAAATGTGGTTCTCATTATAGCGCGGCGCACATTCTCTTTAAACATCTGCAAAAGTTTCATGGATTGAGGGCGGCTCATTTTCAAAATATGGTTCTCGCTTTAGCGCGGCGCACATTTGTTTCAAATTTTGCAAGAGTTCCACGGACTCCCATCATCAACGTACCAGACATGGTGTTTGGAAGGATTCAGGATTTTGTGGGCGCAACAGTTACGTTGATTCTCTGTGTTGAAGTCCTACGAATGGCGTTCTGGCACGACTCAGGATCGTTAAGACGCCACAGTCAGGTTGATCCGTGGCGTTGGAATCCCAAGAACAATGTTTTGGCATGCTTCGGGGTCTTCAAACGGGCGTCTTCCAACGAGGCAATTCCATCAACGGAAATGAACCGTTGTAGGGGACTATGAAGAGGGAGCTTGGAAGGAGATGTTACTCCAACATCGTTGATGACTCTTGGGTTTACACTGGTCCTCCTCCTCCTCCTTCTCCTCCTCCTCCTCCTTATCCGCCCTATCCTACCTATGGTTGTGATGGTGGAAAATCGCCCATCACCCAGACCTCCTCGGGCCATGAAAAAATCACGACGGAAGGTTTCTCACTATTTTCGGCATCCGGGGGCCCTTGCCGGGCCCTGGGAGCGTCAAACAACGGCTCAGGATGAGAAGCTGGTCCCGGGGAGCGGGTCCAGACATTTGGGGGTCGACGTCATGAAACAATCATGACGACGGGGGTCCGAGGATCGTGGGGGACAGGCATACAGTCGGGCCGAGGTGCACAGTGGGGGCGCGCGTCAAGAAACCATCTGGGGCGTTCCAGAAAATAGCCTTGCCTTCGAGGGTCGGAGGGGTTGTCATCTCTTCCGCCGCGGAGGGAGGCGGAAGGCCGGCGGAAGTAAAACGAGGCCGCCTCCGCCAGCGGAAGCTGGCGGAAGGGCGGCGAAAGGGGGCGGGAATAGAAGCGGAAGTAAAACATGCGCCCCCAAGAGATGAAAACATGTTGGGGTTCAGGGTTTCCGGAGTCGGCCATATGCTGTTCGTCAGGGATCTTGGGTTCCTTCGTTCCGCGAGTTGCGCGGTAACTTCCCACAGCCGTTGAAGAAGCTGCTGCGTTCTGGGTGCTCTGGGTTTCCCCTCAGGTGCACCTCGCGCGCGGCTTTTCAGAAGTGGGTTTCTTGCGGCCGCGCCCGCACTTTAGGCACAAGGGGGGATGTCGGACGGGGCTTGGACGAGAACGAATCCGTTTCAGAGCGTTCCGGGACGCTCCCAGAGCGCTCCAGAGCGCTCTGAGAGGGCCGCGGCGCCCGAGACATCCTCGAGGACCGCTGGATTCCAGAGGTTCTCGAGTTCTTCTCACCCGATTTGATCCTCGTCCTGGCTTCGTCTTACGACGCATCGACCCCCAATCGTCTACTCATCGCCGACAGGGCCCGATAACTCCACCCCGCCTAATAACGCTGTGATGTATTATCGGGCGACTATCGCCGATCTATCGGAGATGTCTCGCCGATTCCAGGTCGATGTTTTGCCCCCTATGCCAGTCCCCCAAATCGTTGCTTCTCAGGCAGCGACTTCCGGCAGTCGCCCTTCTCTGGAGTTGGGACGTCCATGACCCTCAGGACGCGAGGAGAAACAACATAGTATGTGGTTTGCACGTGAATGTTCGGAGCTCCGCGCAGATCTCTCGGATTTGCGCAGGAACCCCGTGGCGACGCCTCCAGCGCCGCCCCTGGCGCGCTCCACGCGGCCGAGGGGAGGGGTCCAGGGCGGATCCAAGACATCTCCGCGGAGCTCCGAAAGCTGATGTTCATGCTGTGTCCTTCTCCTCCTTGTGAGGATGTTCGACGAGGCCAGGAAGCGGGCCCCGTGCATCATCTTCGTCGACGAGATCGACTCCCTGGGCGTGGCCCGTAGGCAGGGCCCGACGGCCTTCCAGGACGCGGGGGAGATGGGCGGCTCCGTCACCCGCGACCAGGACTCCAACCTCAACGCCTTGCTGGCGAAGATGGACGGCTTCCAGCCGTCGTCGGGCGTGCTGTTCCTCGCCGCCACGAATCGCCCCGAGGTGCTGGACGAGGCGCTGCTCCGCACGGGCCGGTTCTCGAGAAGAAGAGATGCACGCAGCTTTTTCGCGACCGAGTCTTGGGCCAAAATGGTCTCGGAAGCTCTTTGGGGGTGCTCTTGGGGCATTGTTGGGGCCCTGCTGACATCTTGAAGGCTGTTGGATCCTTCGGGGCCCTTCTGGGATCGCTTTGGGGCGTGTGCGAAGTTCCTCCGAGGGGTCGGGGAGCCTCCTGGGGCTTTGTCGGGGTGCTCGGGGCGATGAGTTGACGGCATGCCGGGCCTGATCAATTGCGTCCGCTTCGTCCTCCTGACTCCCTGCAAAAGTGACCGAGCGCGGTCCACTACTCGCAAAGTGCCTACTCGCAAACGTCCGAGAACACACATGTTCGCCTGGATGTAGTGGACCGTAATTCCCCGCGGCGAATCAAGGCCATTTGCGAGCAGCTACTCCTGCGAATCGTGGAACGCGTTCGTCTAAAATGGACCCTTCCTGCCTCCTCCCCCTCCCCTCTGCCCCCAGTGCGTGGGAGCTCCGCGCGGGGATTCCTTGCATGGGCGTGTGGCCCCCCTGGCGACGCCTCCGGCGACGCCCCTGGGCGCGTGGAGCGCGCCAGGGAGGGGAGTCCAGCGCCGATGCAAGAGATCCGCGCGGAGCCCCGAAAATGTGCCTACCCATCGGTCGTTGAGAGTAGGAAGCTGTGGATTCCCAGATTCCGATCTACTTTGAGCGCCTTCTTACATCAACGATCGAGTAACTGGTTTCCCCTCTTCCGTCCTCTTCAGGGGGCGGGCGGACACCCGATCTGCTTTCAACGCCTTCCTACTTCACGTTTCTACCTACTGCTTCCGACCGATGGGTACAGACGGCCCGGATTAGTAGGTCCACCCTGCCAGATTAAGGGTACCCTCGTGTCCTGTGTCTTGCGACCCATGCCTCCTGCATTTCTGTGGCAACGTGGCCCCCGGAAGGCTCGCGTGTCCGACTGCACTGCTTCCGACCGATGGGTATGCCGTTTTTTCCCCTCGTGCAGGTTCGACCAGCGCGTGGAGTTCAAGCTCCCCGACGCGGCGGGCCGCGCGGAGATCCTGGAGGCCGCCGCGCGGGCGCTGGTCTTCGAGCAGCCCCCCGACTTCGAGGCGCTGGCGGCACAGACACCGGCGTTCTCCCCCGCGGACCTGCAGGGGGTCCTGAACAGCGCGGCGACCAGGGGCAACCTTTCCAGAACCCCTCGAGTCATGAGAAAATCACGACGGGAGGTTTCTCGCTATTTTCTCCCTCTGGAGGCCCTCGCATGGCCTCGGGACTGTCAAAAAACAGCTCAGGATGGGAAACCGGTCCTGAGGGATGAGTCCAGACCTCAGGGGGTCGACGTCATGAAAAAATCAGGAGCAACGTGAGGGGGGGGGAGATAGATAGGTTCAGGGGGGATGCATCGATCCCAAGTCGCCCACTCCTCCCTGATATAGGCGCTGCCTGGAGCCCATCCGCCGATCCATCGGCTTTGAGTCGCCGCTTCTGGGTCGATGTTTTCTGTTCTCCCCCGGAGCCGGTCGACCCCCACCCCCCCCTGCGGTCAGGAACTTCACCTCGACGTGCCGCTCCGCCGATCCTGGAACGCCACGCTTCGGCGCGACGCGCTGTCCACGTCCCGAAGCCCGAGCCTCGGAGTCCTGGGCTCCTCCCGGGGGCCCGCGGAGAGCGGAGCAGCGCGCCAGCCGCCTGCCTGGGGGTGTAGCAGGTCGCCGGGGCCGCCGCAGCGATGTACGCGGAAGCAAAAGAGTTCCCGGCCGTAGCCGCCCGAGGGCCCGTGGTCCAGGGAGGGAGAACCACCCGGACCCGACAGCTGGCGTTTTTACGAAACGGCCCTGGGCGTTTGCTACGGCCCTGGGCGCTTACCAAGCAGCCCTGCCTGGTTCGATTCCTTCCTTGGGTGCGTTTACTAAACGGCTGCGCTTGTCGGGGTGATTATTCTGAGGGTGGATTTTCGTCCCTCTACGTGGAACCCCCCGAAGCGCTCGGGCACCTCAGGGGCCTCAGGGCCCACGAAGAGCGTGCCCCACGAGGTCTTGCAGCAAGAGTTCTGCTCGCACGCGTCAGTACTGTGTATTGGGCGAGGCGCCAGGCGAAGGGCAGGCCCTTTCTGCTCCTCCTTCTCCTCCTCCTCCTCCTCCTCCTCCTCCTCCTCCTCCTCATCCTCATCCTCCTCCTCGTCCTCGTCCTCGTGCTTGTCCTCCTCCTCCTCCTCCTCCTCCTCCGTCTCCTCCTCCTCCTCCTCCTCCTCCTCCTCCTCCTCCTCCTCCTCCTCCCTCCTCCTCCTCCGCCCCTCCTCCTCTCTCTCTCCCCTCCCTCCTCTCTCATCTCTTGTCCTCCTCCTCTTCCTGCTCCTCGTCCTCGTGCTCGTCCTCCTTCTCATCCTCCGTCTCCGTCTCTCTCCTCCTCCTCCTCCTCCTCCTCCTCCTCCTCCTCCTCCTCCTCCTCTCCTCCTCCTCCCTCCTCCTCCTCTCCTCCCTCTTGCGTCTCCTCCTGCGTCTCCTCCTCTCTCCTCCTCCTCCTCCTCCTCCTCCTCCTCCTCCTCCTCCTCCTCCTCCTCCTCCTCCTCCTCCTCCTCCTCCTCCTCCTCCTCCTCCTCCTCCTCTCCTCCTCCTCCTCCTCCTCCTCCTCCTCCTCCTCCTCCTCCTCCTCCTCCTCCTCCTCCGTCTCCCTCCTCCTCCTCCTCCTCCTCCTCCTTCCTCCTTCTCCTCCTCCTCCTCCTCTCCTCCCTCCTCCTCTCCTCCTCCTCCTCCTCCTCCTCCTCCTCCTCCTCCTCCTCCTCCTCCTCCTCCTCCTCCTCCTCCTCCTCCTCCTCCTCCTCCTCCTCCTCCTCCTCCTCCTCCTCCCCTCTTCGGTGTGGCATGGGGAGGCGCCGGGGTCGGGGGGCGCGAGAGCCCCGAGTCGTGCGGGCCTCGCGGGCTCCGCCACCTGCGCGGACGGGATGCGCTGGCAGCAGAGCACGCTCAACGATCACCTTTGCCCTGCTGTTGGGAGTGAAAAAAGGAGTCTGGGGCAACGTTAGGGGGGATAGGTTCTGGGGGGGGGAGGGGGGGGGAAGAGGAAGAAGAGGAAGAAGAAGAAGAAGACGAAGAAGAAGAAGAAGAAGAAGCAGAAGAAGAAGAATAGGAGGGTGAGAAGGAGGAGGAGGAGGAGGAGGAGGAGGAGGTGGAGCTGGAGGAGGATAAAGAGGAGTCAGGGGCAACGTTAGGGAGGGATAGGCTCAGCGGTGGGGGGGGGAGCCATCGACCCATAGTCGCCCATGCATCGGCGCCGGGAGCCCGACAGGGCCGCCCGCACCCAGGGAGCGTGCGGGTCCGCCCATCGAGGGCCGATCGCCGATCTCTCGGCGTTGTGTCGCCGATGCTGGCCGATGTCCCCCCCCCCCCGCCGAGCTGGTCACCCCCTCACGTGGCCCGTCAGGCGATGGACGCCGCGTACGCCGGGCTGGACGCCATCGCCGCTCCCGCCGTGGAGAAGAGCGTGCAGGAGGTGCGCTCGCGGAAGGCCAAGGCGAAGCCGGAGGGCCAGTTCCAGGCCGCGCAGTCCCAGACATGAAGTCACGACGCGGCGGAAGGTTGTTCTGCCTGTCTTCGGCCCCGGGGGGGCCTTCGCCCGGCCCCAGGGAGGATAAATCGATAACCACTCGGGATGGAAGAGAGAGCAGCTCCTGCGGAAGAGGACGGGACTCCTGGAGACCCCATATTGAAAAAGTCGAGGCATCAAATGGTTGGAGGAGGAGGAGGAGGAGGAGGAGACGGAGACGGAGGAGGAGGAGGAGGAGGAGGAGGAGGAGGAGGAGGAGGAGGAGGAGGAGAGAGGGAGACGAGGATGAGCAGGAGGAGGAGGAGAAGGAGGAGGAGGAGGAGGACGAGGAGGAGGACGAGGAGGAGGAGGAGGAGGACGAGGAGAAGGAGGACGAGGAGGAGGAGGAGGAGGGGGAAGAGGACAAGAGAGGAGAGAGAAGGGAGGAGAGAGCAGGATGAGCAGGAGGAGGAGGAGGAGGAGAAGAAGGAGGAGGAGGAGGAGACGGAGGAAGAGAGGAGGAGGATGAGAAGCAGGAGGAGGAGGAGGAGGATAATGAGGAGGAGGAGGAGGAGGAGGAAGAGGAGGTCCGGGGTTGCAGGTCACGCAGTGCGTCGACGTGACCTTCCGGGACGTCCGGGGCCACGACGAGGCCGTGGAGGAGCTGCGGGACCTGGTGGACGCGCTGAGGCACCCCGAGCGCTACGAGGCGGTCGGCGCCGTGGCTCCCCGCGGCGTGCTCCTCGAGGGCCCCCCGGGCGTGGGCAAGACGCACTGCGCCCGCGCCTTGGCGGGCGAGGTCCCGGGGGCCCCCAAGCGATGTGGTGGTGAGTCCGCGGGGATTCGGGGTCACCTTGCGGGTGTGGGGCGATGTCGGAGGTCTTCGCGCGTCTTCGTCGGTTCTTGCTGGTCTTCTCGCCTCGGGATGCTTCACAGCAGCTGCGCCTCGTCGAGGGCGTCGTGGGGGTGCCCGGATCGCCCCGAGCGGCCGCTGGAGACCCGAGGCATGGCCCCGAGACCAAACTTTCGGAGGAGGGCCAGTGTGGTGAGTCAGTGGGGATTCAGGGTCACCGCGCGGGTTTGGGACTCGGGTCGTTCTCCGAGGGCGTCTCGGGCGGCCAGGGACCTCCCGGGTCCCAAGGCCGTGCGGTGACGGACAGTGCGGTGAGGTCTCTTGGGGGTCCAAGGTCACCGCGCGGTCCGTCAACAAACGGTTCGGGGGCCCCGAACAGGTCGGGCTGCCGTTCTTGTCCGCCTCCGGCAGCGATTTCCAGGCGTCCCGGTACGCTGGCCAGGGCACGCAGCTGGTCAAGCGGCTGTTCACGCTGGCGAGGAAGCTGCAGCCTTGCATCCTGTTCATCGACGAGGTTCGAAGACGACTGGACTGCATAAACACACGGTGCAGGCGTTTGTTGAGGAATGTGCCCAGGAAGCCCGAGACATTGGAGAATCCCTTACCTGGTGAGGGCGGCGGTGATATCCATGGCCATGCCTCAATTGGTGTTCTACCCGGATTCTACCCGCTTCGAGACCTTGATCCAACACCCTCACCGTGAACTTTCAGAGCTCCCCAGGGATTTCGTGGATCTGTGTTGGGGCCTCTGGCGCCTCTGGCGTCGCCTCTGGCGTCGCCCCTGGCGGCCTCCGCGCGACAGGGAGGGGGCCCAGCGTGGATCCAAATAATCCGAATGGAGCGCTGACAGTTTATGTTTATGCAGTTGTTTCTTCCGCATGGCTGACAGAGCCATCGGGGAGGCCCACACGACTCGTTTGTCCGTTCTCCCTCTCCTCTCTCTTCTCCATGGCTGGCGCTTCCCATGATGGAGCACCCTTTCCCTCGCTCCTCATCATCATTGCAGTCGTCTCATGAGAAAATGGGCAGCGTTAAGACATGGGTTCGTCTTCGCTGGCATTGTCTCGAATGTTGCCCGCGTGAGGTCGCGCGTGGGCGCCCTCGCTCCACTGCAGCGTGCCGCGCGGGCGGCCCGCGCAAGCTGCGGCGCGCAAGGTCGCCATACCATCTGGCGTAAGATCTGTTTCTGTTCGTCTTGCTGCAGTGCCTCCTCTGCGCCATTCTACGAGAGGGTCCTCTGCTCCTCTGCGAGAGGGTCCTCTGCGAGAGGGTCCTCTGCTCCTCCATTCCCCCCTGGGGCCATTCTACGAGAGGGTCCTCTGCGAGAAGGGGCTCCTGCCCACCGCCACCCAGAGAGGTGGACGCCCTGGGGCGGAGGCGGAGCGGCGCGGCGGCGGGAGCCGAGCAGGATAGGGAGAACACGATGATGCAGCTGCTCGTCGAGATGGACGGCTTCGAGGATCACCACCCACCAAGCCGCCCCGAACCCAACCCGAAGGCCCCAATGTTGCCCTTCATTCCCAGTGGGGGGGGGGCGTTGGAGAACATCGAAACACGCGCGCGCGCGCGCGCGCGCACACACACACACACACACACACACACACACACACACACACACTTACTTACATGCATGGAAACCGTACCCCCCCCCCGCCCCCAACGAAATGTGGGTGTTCGTGCTTGGGGCGGGGTAGCCTGTTAGGAAGTCACAGGAGGGGCGACGCTCCCAGGGTCGCCCCAGGGCCTGCGCACACATGGCGGCAACGTTTCTGCGGCCTGAGGCGGGTGGGGATGTTGTTTGAATTCGGGGTTGTTGTCAGACATAAATATTTTATAGAGATACATGCATTTATAACTAAACAAGTGTTCCTGCTAAACAATTTAAACCGTTTGCGGCGTAGATCGGGCTTTTCTGTCGCAGGTGCGAATTCTGAAGCAATCTTGGCTCGGGCCTGAGGAGCCGCCGAGCGCAGTGAAAGCTAGAAGCACACGCCAAGAGAAGCAGCGAACCTGGCAAAAGTGGGCACCCTCCTACGATCCCCTCCCTAAGGTTTTTTGGGGCGGGCCACGAGGTGCCAGGGAGCCCAAGATAGCCCAAGAAGGCTCCGAGATGGCCTCCAAGATGGGATGGTTCTAGTTCGAGATAGGGGGGCCCCAGACATGCTCGCGTCGTGAACAAGAACCACGGCGGGAGGTTTTGAGCAGCGCTCGGCCTCCGGGGGCCCTCGCTGGGCCCCGGGATCGTCAAACAGTGGCTCGGGACGAAAAGTCGGCCCTGAGAACAGTGTCTGGACTTCTGGAGACTCAGACATCCGGCTGCTCCAATTTTTTCGATGCATGGGCCCCCGAGATCTGGACCACTTTCCCCGGGACCGGTTTTTCGTCCTGAATCGTTTCTTGACGTTCCGAGGCCCAGCGAGGGCCCCCAAAGGCCAAAAATTGCCAGAATCCCGCCGCTCCCATTTATTTTGGAGCGTCGGGACTTCCGGAGATTGAACAGATCAGGACATCGGGTGTCGGGGGCAGGCCTTCTCAGCAGGCGGCGAGGCTTCGTAGGAGCCCCCCCCCCGGCCTTCCGAGAAAAACCACCTCTGCCTTCGGAGCCTCCTGGGAAGGCCTGCCCGGCGCGGTGTCGTGATTTTTGTCCACTGCGGGGTCCCCGGAAGTCCCGGCCCGTTTCCCAGGGCTGGCGGTTGCAGTCTAGGCCTCCCAGATGGGGTCGGAGTAGATGGGGTCGAAGGATTGGTCCGCATCGCCGATGCTTCGGCGATGCGGCTCGGTGCGGAGCCCGAGTTTTTTCCTACTTGCCTCCTTGCTGCTCCTCTCTCCCTCCTTGCCCTGCCAATGATCTACACACCTGTCGCGCTTCACTTCCGTCCCGCTTCACATTGATTGATCGATCACTGGCCGTGCAGCTGCGCGGCGCGACGGCGCCAACTTGCCGGGCCCCCGCCGGCCCTCCTATGGCAAGTCCGAGTCCGAGTCCGAGTCCGATGGCGCCGATACGTCGTCGACCTCGCGGATGCATCGCCAATACATCGCCGATCAATATTGGCGATTGGGCGCAATCCTCCGACCCCATCTATTCGGACCCTATCTAGGAGGTCCCTATGCAAAGGGTGTGGTCACGCGGGGGGCGTGGTTTGCGATCGGCGCCGTTGGGGCCTGGGGGGCACGACGCGGTCCTTCTCGGGCCTCCTCGGAGTGCGGCGGGGAGCTCTATCGAGGTCTGCGCCCGCCCCCAGGAAGCCCCGCAGGGTGCCGGCTGCAAACCACACCCTGTACAAATCACACCCTATTCGGAGTCGCCGATCAGGGCCCGCTTTGTCCCTCCCGATCTTTGGACGGTCCGGGGGCCCGGCGAGGGCCCCCGCAGGACAACGGAAGCTGCCAAAAACTTGCAGTCGTGATGTTTGCGAGGGCGCGTGCGCGCGGCCGCCCCCCCCTCCCCCTCCTCCTCCTCCTCCTCCTCCTCCTCCTCCTCCTCCTCCTCCTCCTCCTCCTCCTCCTCCTCCTCCTCCCTCCTCCTCCTCCTCCTCCTCCTCCTCCTCCTCCTCCTCCCTCCTCCTCCTGGGCTCGCCGCCGGGAGGAGCGCAGCCAGACGCTCGTGCTGGCCGCGACCAACCGGGCGGACGTGCTGGACCCGGCTCTATTGCGGCCCGGCCGTTTCGACCGCCGCGTGGCCCTCGAGCTGCCCGACCAGGCGGGCCGGCGGGCGCTGCTCGACCTGTACGCGGGGACGCGGCCGATCCCGAGGAGCAAAAAACGAAAGAAACATACGGTAGGTTAGTGCCGTGTCGACCAGCGGCGACCCCGCCAGCGGCGTTCAATTTTGAACGCCGCGGGCGACCCAGAATCGTTCCATGTGGAACGATTTAGACGTTTCGGAAACGGCCGATCGTTCAAGGTTGAGCGATCCCCGGTGTGTCAGAAACCAACGCCGAAGGCGGCACGACACGAACCTGACGTATAAGCTTCCATGAACGTCTGGAGCTCAGGGGGGGGAAAGGTACCGATACCAAGACCTATGCCTCGTCTTCGCCCTCTTGAGCCTCCCGGGAGGCCCCCCTCGCAAAGGCTGGGGTCGTTTCGAGGTCTAAGTCAGAGAGCACCCCGGGAGAGGTCCAGGGAGCCGCGGCACGCAGGAGGGGAACAGAAAGACAGACACAACTTAAACGTCGAGCCCCACGAAAAAACATGGGAGCATATGGGAAGTGGAGGGGAAGACGACCATCCAGACCAGATGACAAAATATTGGGCAAAATATTCGGAATCCTGGTACTTGTGTTAAGTCGGGCACGTCCCTCTACAGTGGGAATATTCAAGAATAGTCCAACAATAGTATGGGGGCGATTGTTGTTACTATTCTTGGCCATCTCGGAGCATTTGTTCACTAATGTTTTTTATCTTTCGTCCAAAAGTCCCCCTGTGGGAGGACACGCCCGACCCAGAACTTGTGTCTATTCCTTTGTGTGTCCTTGGGCGCCTACAGGTTACGGGTGCCCCGTGGTCCTCCCTCCCTCCTCCTCCCTTCTCCCTCCTCCCTCCTCCCTCCTCCCTCCTCCCTCCTCCTCCCTCCTCCTCCTCCTCCTCCTCCTCCTCCTCCTCCTCCCTCCTCCTCCTCCTCCTCCTCCTCCTCCTCCTCCTCCTCCTCCTCCTCCTCCTCCTCCTCCTCCTCCTCCCTCCTCCTCCTCCTCCTCCTCCCTCCTCCTCCTCCTCCTCCTCCTCCTCCTCCTCCCTCCTCCCTCCCTCCTCCCTCCTCCCTCCTCCTCCTCCTCCCTCCTCCCTCCTCCCTCCTCCCCCCGAAGCTTCCGGCGCTCTGCGCGGGCCTCCCGCCTCGGCGCGCGGGCGCCGCCCTCCGCGGGCGCGCGGGGAGCGTGCCGGCGGCGGCGGAGGCGTGCAGGCTCTCGGGGGAAGCGGCGCGGAGGTCCGGGCGCTTGCTCGGGAGGGAGAGGCGGGATTGCAAAAAATTATGCTAACGGAGTTCCCCACATAAAGAGATTAACGGTTTCGTGGGACCCATTTTCTTGAGGCCCTCCTCGCTTTGGCGGGGCCCCGCTGGAAGGGGGGAGGGCGGAGGTCCGGGCGCTTGCTCGGGAGGGAGAGGCGGGATTGCAAAAAAAAACCCTTGCTTGAACGAAGGATTGCAAAAAAAGCCTGGGTTGCAAAAAAAACAAAACAAAAACAAAAAAACTGTTTTTTTTGCAAACCCCTGTTTTTTTTTGCAATCCTGGGTTTTTTGGCAATCCTTTGCAATCTTGGGTTTTTTGCAATCCTTGGGTTTTTTTTGCAATCCTGCGCTTGCTCGGGAGGGAGAGGCGGACACAGACCGGGGCTGCAGGCTCTCTGCCTCCGCCGTAGGGTGCCTTGCTGAACCAGGGCTCGTTTCGAATCCTCCGATTCGATTCGATTCGACTCCGATGGATTCCGATTCCGATTCGATTCGATTTCGGATTCCGATTTGGGCTCCGATTTCTTATTGGACGCATACTAGCCTGCCGATTTCCGCCGATTCGACTTTTCCCGACTCGGCTGCCGATTTCTGCCGATCCGACTTATTTCGATCGCCGATCCGACTTATCGATTCGATTCTGGGCTCCCCTGCTAAACGTGGCGGACAGAGCGTGGAGCTCTAAAAAGAGGACGCAGATCGGGGGCCCCCAAACGGGGTGGTGACCGCACCGTGCGGTGAGTCGGTGGGGATTCGGGGTCGCCGCACGGTTTTGGGGGCTCGGGTCGTTCTCCAAGGATGTTTCGGGCGACTGGGGCATCCGAGGTCCCAAGACCGTGCGGTGAGGTCTTCAACTTGGGGGATGTCGAGGTCACCGCACGGTCTGTCACCGCACCGTTTCGGGACTCCAAAACAGACACTGATGATCGTCGCTGTCCCTTGAAAACAGCGAACAGATGGGACGTGGAGGGGGAAGACGGACATCCAGAAGACGTGGAAGTGATCCGGAGATCCTGGCATTTGTGGCTATTGAGTTGCGTGTCCATGGGCCACTTCATTTGTGTCGTTGTTTGTTCCTCCACGATCGCGGACGACGTGGATCTCGACGACGTGGCCCGCAGGACGGTCGGTTTCAGCGGCGCAGAGGCCCAGAGCTGAGCGTCTGTTCATCGCGATCGGCGATCAGTGATCGGGTGATCACGTGGTTGCCAATCACGTCGCCGATTCGGCTTGACCGCGCGACTGTCAAAGCTTGAATGCGCGATCGATCCGTGTTCAGCGAGGTAGCCATGGGGATTGGGGCAACGGTCGGATCGCTTGAGCCACGGGAGAGATGGGATCGATTGCGCAGATATTCGCGAGCAAGCTTCCCGCGCAGGTTTGCGCGCAAGCGTCCTGTTGTCGACGCGGTGTGCCACGCTGGCGGCCCGCGCAAGCCGCGGCGTAAGGCCCCTTATGCCGCAGGGCTGGACCCAAACGCTGTGTTGTTTTTCGTTCTGGCATGGCCGACAGGCGTCCGCCTCGATGGCCGCCAGGCGCTTGCTCGGCTCACGCTGCGGCGCAGGTTTGTCGTTGTGGTGTGCAGTGCTCATAGAGCGGGGCGACCCTCTGCAGACGGAGGAGAGCAGAGGGCAGTGCCCGCAGAAGGGACGACCCCTCTGCGGACGGAGGAGAGCAGAGGCGGAGGCGCTGCAAGGCTGCGCTGGGAGGGCCGCCCCCGCGAGCGCGCGGGGAGGCGGCCCAGGAAGAAGAAGTAGAACAAAACGAAAAACAAAGCGAAACCAAAACGAAAATCAACGTTTAGGTTCAGCCCTGCTGTGCCGTCTCGTGTAAGACCCGTCTCCCTTCGTTGCTCGCGTGATCGGGTGGCGTGATCGGCTGAGTGATCGGCCAGACGTTGATCAGGCAAGGCCCATGCCGATCCGGTCGATCCGATTATATAAATTCCGAGTCGTTCCGATTCCGATTCCGCGCCGATGCACACCCGATCCGATGCACGTGTCGGTACGATCCGGTTTCTCGGTTCGATGCTCGCCCTCCTCCTCCTCCTCCTCCTCCTCCTCCTCCGTCCTGGCTCGGCTGGTTGGCGTCGCCTCGGTTGGATCCGCCTCTCTCGTTTTGGTTCTGGGCCCTGGCGTTCACTCGTCGTCACGCTGGGTGTCTCTCGCAATCCCGGCTGGGCATCGTGCCCAGCGCTCGCTCACCGTCGGCGTGGGCGTCGGCCTGCGCGCCAGGGCTGCCGAGACCAGACGGCGGCCGCCTCATCGAGACCCTCAGGACCCTCCTCCTTGTCCTCCTCCTCGTCCTCCTGCTCCTCCTCTTCCTCCTTCCCCATTCCTTTTCCTCATACAGAACTCCTTTGTCCTGCTGAGGTCCAGAATCTCGTGAACGAGGCCGCGCTGCTGGCGGTGAAGCGGCGCCTGGAGCGCATCTCGCGCGACTGCGTGGCCTGCGCCGCGGACCGTATCGCACTCGGGGCCGAGAAGGCCAACCCGATGCGCAGCGAGGCCGCGAGACGACTCACCGCCGTGCACGAGGCCTTTAGGGAACAAGAGAACCCAGAGATCCAGCGCATTGAAAAAGTCAAGACGGAAGCTTTTCGCCGTTTTCGGCCTTTAGAGGCCCTCGCCGGGCCCCAGGACCGTCAAAAAACGACTCAGGACGAAAAGCCTGTCCTGGGGAATGTGTTGAGACTTCCGGGGACCCCGCATTGAAAAAATCACGACGTCGGATCTCTGGGAGGCGGCACCGACACAAGGTGTGGGTATTCGTTAAGGATTATGCCAGGGACGTTCAGACCCAGGAGGATTTCTTCTCCCCAGACCTCCTCGCGTCGCGAACAAAAATCACGGCGGGAGGCTTTTCTACATCTTTCGGCCTCCAGGGGGCCCTCGCCGGGCCCCGGAACCGTCGAAAAACGACGCAGGATGAATTCCCAGTCCCTGGGAAGGGGTCCAGACCTCAGGGGGCCGACGGCATGAAGAAATCATGCCGTCGGGGGCCTGGGCTAAGGATTATGCCCCTGGACGCTGCAGGCCCAAGGAGGACTGCTCCCCTGATGAGGACGGCAGTGATGTCCATGGCCGAGCCTCAGCTGGTGTTCCACCCGCTTCCAGACCCTGGATTCCTGATGTACGGTAGGTTCGCGTCGTGTCGACCGGCGGCGACCCCAACGCGGGCGTTCCAGGTTGAACGCCGCCGGCGACCCAGAATCGATCGATGTTGAACGATCGGACGTTGCGGCAGCGGCCGATCGTTCAAGGTTGAACGATCCCTGCGGTGTCAAAAACCAACGCTGGGGTCGGCACGACACGAACCTGCCGTAGGGGTTTTTGATCCAATCCCCCCACCGTAGGTTCTGGAAGTTAACGCGGATTTCGTGAAGAGAGAGAGGCGGAAGCATTCAGTGTCTCAAGGCCCCATGAGTGCCGCAAGCAGAGGTCAGTGAACGGCGGAGGGCGCGCGGTGCTCTGCCCTCGGCTGCGGACGAGCCTGGCCCGTTCCTCCAAGAGGCCGATGTCGTGCCACGGCCCAAGAAGCAGCCCAGGATGGCCTCGACTCGGGGACGCGCTGGACCCCCCTCCCCTGGCGCGCGGCGGCGCCCGAGGTGCCGCCCGGCGTGCCTGTCGGAGGTGGGCGCGCGGATCTCCTGGATCCCCTGGCGGCGCCTCCCGCGCCGCCCCTGGCGCGCTCCGTGCGGCAGGGAGGGGGGGCCCAGCGCCGATGCTCCGTGCGGCAGGGAGGGGGGGGCCCAGCGCCGATCCGAGAACATCCGCGCGGAGCTCCGAGAGTTTGTGTTCCTGCCGCCTGCTGTTCCTCCGTGGAGGCGGGGCACGCCGTGCTCGGCATGGCGCTCGAGGGCCTGACGTTCCGCAGGCTGGCGCGCGCCTCGATCCGGCCGCGCACCGGCGGCATCGGCGGCGTCACGGTCTTCGAGCCGCTGGCGGAGGGCACCGAGGGTTCGTTGCCGGCGGGCATCCAGACGAGGCAGGGGGCGCTTGCCAGTCTCTGCGTGGAGCTCGGGGGCCGCGTGGCGGAGGAGGCCCTGCTCCGGCCCTCGGAGGTGAGCTCCGGCGCCAGCGCCGACCTCCGCAGCGCGACGAGGCGCGCGATGGCCATGGCGGCCGAGTGGGGCCTCGCGGGCCCCGTGCTCAGCCTGGAGGGCCTCGGGCGGTGCAGCGAGGCCTGTGGTCGACGATCAATGGAGCGGAAGCATGTTGCCAAGTAATAGCCGGATCTCTAAAACATGCCATGATCATGCCTTAAACATGTTAAACATGTTGTGCACATGTTCAGAATATTCCTACCAACAAGAATTAAACCTATAGTTAGGTCAATAATCGGATTGTTGGGGTGTCCACTGTCATGGCATCCACCAAAAGCGAGGCGACCCTGAGCCGGGCCGAGCAGGCCGCCGGGGCCGTGCTGGCGCAGGCGCTGGCTAGCGCCCGCGCGCTGCTGGGCGGGCCCGCCGGGCGCCGCTGCCTGGAGTTCGCCACGGCGCGCCTGCTGGAGCAGGATCAGGGGCAACAGGGGGGGATAGGCGTAGGGCAACAGGGGGGGACAGGCGTAGGGGGGGGATCCCAGACCCCTCGGGTCATGAAAAATCATGACGGGCGTGTTTTTCTATTTTCGGCCTGTGGGGGCCCTTGCCGGGCTCTGGGACCGTCGAACAACGACTCAGGATGAAACCGGTCCCGGGGAATGGGTCGAGACCGCTCTGAGGGTCGACGTTACGAAAAAATCATTGCGTCGGGGGTCTGGGATGCACGATGCGTCGACCCCCAATCGCCCACGCATCGCCGATAGGGGGCCCGATAGCCCTGTCCTGCCCAGGAAGGTGCGGACTCCCTATCGGGGCCCGACCGCCGATCCGTCGGCGATGCATCGCCGATTCCAGGTCGACGCATCCCCCCCCATACCCTGACCTTCCAGGAGGGCCAAAAAATAGCACCAGGACGTCGACGTTCTGATTCCTGTCGAGGTTTGAGGCAGTCCAGATCGGGTTATATAGGTCTGGAGTGCTATTTGGGGGGAACTGCGGAAGTCAGGGTACGCCGCTCCCCCCCGCCCCCCTTTCTCGCTGCCCCTCGCAGGAGCAGGCCGAGGCCGAGGCCCTGGCGGCCCCCGGGGAGGACCTGCGGCTGCTGCGGGAGGAGGCCCTGCGCGAGGCGAGCGGGTGGGGTGCCCCGGAGCCGCCGGCGGCGGCCGCCGCGGCGCTGCAGCCGCGGGTCGCGTGACGGGCGTTCTCGTCTTCCCCCGCCCTCCCCGCCCGCCTGCCTCCCAGAGCCCCTCGGGCAATGAAAAAATCACGACGGGTTGTTTTTTTTGCTATTTTCGGTCCCTGGGGGGCCTTACCGGCCCTCGGGACCGTCAAAAAACAACTCAGGAGGAAAAACACCCGTCCCGGGGAATGGGGTCGAGACCTCTGGGGGTCGACATAATGAAAAAAACATAACGTCGTGGGTCTGGTCTGCCTGCCTGCCTGCCTGCCTGCCTGCGCTCCTGCTCTTGCTCCTGCTCCTGTTCCTGCTCCTCCTGCTCCTCCTCCTCCTCCTCCTCCTCCTCCTCTTCCTCCTTCTTCTGTTGCCTCTCTTCTCCTCGTCATCCTCCGCCACGCTCATGCGCGGCATCGCGGCACAGCTGCTCGCCACCGGGTGCGGGGTGCCGCGGCGGCGTCCCGTGAGCAAGCCGCCGCCGAAATACCTGAGCCGTGCCCTTTGCACCCCAGGTTTGCCTTCGTATTGTTGGCCTTCTTCCTATCATCAGACGTCGTGGCATCCTTGTTCGCATCCGCCCGGCCCGGAATGGCTTCGGCGTGGAAATCAAGGCTTATGAAGCCGCCCTGTGGTACCAAATGGTGGGCTTGCTACCAAATGGTGGGATCCAGTGCAGACCTTCGGCGAGTTCAACAGCCCGCCGCAGCAGTGCGCCAAGCTCTACAGCTCTACAGCGTCGCGGCCGCCACCTGCCTCTCGTACATATTCCAGCTGTCCCTTCGATCTCCCATCTTCAGGGCCAGAGAGACCCACGCGTATCACTGTTTATCGCGCTACGCCGTCCACCTTCGCAAGATGAGCTTCATGTTTGCGGTTTGCGGTCGGAGCGGGGTGGGGACGCCCTTTGGCTTCGAGGTTCTCTTGGCCTGCCACGGTGCGGATCATGGCATCCGAGACGTTGACACATATGACGCGCGCTACTACAGCATTTTCGAGCAGCCGCTGAGCAGGCACTTCCCATCGTCCTGGCGGTCCACCGGAATGTTGATTGCGTGGCCGACAAGGCAAAGATCGCGCAGCGCCTCGAGCAGCGCATATCCAGACAGCTTGTCCTCACTTGCAAAATAGTCCATATGTAAGATGTTCACGCGTTAGCTCGGCAACGAAACGCTCGCCCGACGTGGCCTTGTCGTTGCAGCACGGGGCAGTGATGCCATAGTGCAGCACGGGGTCGGGATGCCATTCTCCATCTCAACGACCCCCAGCCCGACCGATTGCGGCCGGCCAAGTCCCCGCCGCAAGCGTACCCTGTCAAGTTCCAACGGCAGCTGTACCACGAGTCGTTCGACAAGAACGCCAGGAGGCTCCAGGCATGGATCTCGACCCTCGCAGTGCGACCCGAAGTCCTCCCTGCGGATTGCTCCAAAGCTCGAGAAGCATTGGGCCACTTGCGCGACCGTGCCGCCGTCAAGCAGCCAGGATGCGGACCACGGGGTCAAGTGTCGAGCAGCCAGCGTCAAGCAGCCAGGCTGCTTGATAGTGTCAAGCTGACACTCTGAACGAGGGCGTCGTGGACAAGGCTGCCGACTTGTTGGCACGATGTGTTCCGCACGCCTCTGTTGCGCTTCGGCGACCTCAGCTCAACAAGATGTCGTGGGGCTCCGCCGACTCTGACCCAGCCGGACGGCGCGGCGCGTCTGCCAGGCAGCACGGGTTGCCCCCAGCTTTGGACCACGTCGTCGCGAGCCGATGCGTCGGAGTCACCAGCTTCCTCCTCTCGGGCGCAGTGGATGCGCGCAGTGGACACCGCCGAAATTCGCGATCGTCGTCGTTGGATCGAGGGTCCCCCCCCGAGCCCTGGCGAAAGTGTCGTCTCCATGTGGTGCGGCTGACCTTTGAGATGCTGGCGAAAGCCTGGGGCCACCAGCCACAGGACGCACGTGGGCCCAGCGAAGCTGGCCTGCGTCTTCGGACGTCGTCCTCGTGAGATCTATCCCTAGGACATCGCCCACTGCATCGTGTGCCCGCGGATGCGGCACCACACGCGCATGCGGCTCGGCAGGGCTCGCCAGCCGGTCCTAATTCGAGCGGGCCTCGGCGGTGAGCAGGCAACCACCTTGACCACGTCGTGGCGTGCCTTGCTAGAGCTGCCAAGACGCAGAGCAAGCTGCAAAACAATCACAACCCGACGTTGCGGACGCCAACCCACGGCGAGCCCTTGAATCCAGACGGAGAGCAGTGGTGCCGTCTCAGAGGCGTCGTTGCTCCCCTTACTCTGGCCCCCTTTGTCCAGTGACCCCTGTCTGCGCGTGGCCGAGGGGCCAGCGAGCATGCCCACCACACGCCTCGAAGAAGAAAAAACTGCATGACTCGACGCGACGCTGCGGATGCCGACCCACCACGAGTCACTGAATCCAGACGGAGGGCAGACGATCGAGCCAGATTCGGACGAGGTCCCCACCGAATGCAGGATGGTGATTCAACAATTACCGGAGGTCGTGGTCACGCGGCGGCACCCTGGATGATGGCTATAGAGAAACTAGCCCCGCTCCCCCACCACACAATATCTTTGAAAAATCGTCGGCTTACATTTCAGTCAACCCGCATAGTAAGCATGGGCAACCTTCCCAAGGGTAGCTTTGCATCCTCGCCTCCTCGGTCCATCCTTGGCCGCTTTCGCTGGCCGCGCCTTGCCCGCAGAGTGCCGACATGGCCGTCCAAGGCCCTTGCATGCCTACCGCGCATCCTTATGACACGGGTCGACTGTAGCGAATCAGCATCGGCGTCGTGGCTGCCGCTCGCCTCGTCGGCGGCGTGGGGGGGGCCGCCGCGGCGGGGGAGCGCCACAAGCATTGCCCTCCAGGTGGCGTTTGCTCCTCCTCCTCCTCCTCCTCGTCCTCCTCATCGTCCTCCTCGCAGGCATACTGCTGCCCGACGACGCTTCCAGGCGCGGCTCTCTCCAACCATCCGCTTTCAGTTGACCACCTGACCCGTTACTCTTTGTACTATTGGCCGCCTGCGTTCGTCCCGTTCTCTTTCTGAGTATTGCCCCTCCTCATCATCCTCCTCCTCTTCCTCCTTTTCCTCCTCCTTCTCCGCGTCCTCCTCCTCCTCTTCTTCCCGCTGCCGCCACCGCCTCCTCCTCCTCCTCTTCCCGGCTCCTCCTCTTCCCCTCCTTCTCCTCCTCCTCCTCCTCCTCCTCCTCCTCTCCTCCTCCTCCTCCTCCTCCTCCTCCTCCTTCCTCCTCCTCCTCCTCCTCCTCCTCCTCCTCCTCCTCCCTCCCTCCTCCTCCTCCTCCTCCTCCTCCTCCTCCTCCTCCTCCTCCTCCTCCTCCTCCTCCTCCTCTTCGTCCCTCCTCCTTGCTCGTGCCTCCTCCTCCTCCTTGCTCCTGCCTCCCGCCTCCCATCCTCTCTTGCCTCCCTCCCCCATCCCCTCCTCCTGCCTCTCCTTCCCCCAGTCGGCGTTGCCTTCCCCTGCCGAGCAGTTGCCCAAGTGAGTAGCAAATGCGGGTGGGGCACCCAAGGCTCGGAAGCGCCCGCTGCTCCCGGACGAAAAGGCCCCCGCGCGGCGCCCGAGGGCGCCGCGCCTGCGTCGGCGAGCGGCCCGGGGAGGCGCCGTGTATACGTCTACACCGATCTTGCGCCCAAGGCTGGTGCATGTCAGATGTTCCTCCTCACCCTCCACCTCCACCTCCACCTCATCCTCGTCCTCCTCCTCCTCCTCCTCCTCCTCCGCCTCCTCCTCCTCCTCCTCTCCCTCCTCCTCCTCCATTCCCTTCCCTTATAAAAAAATTCTCCCTGTCGCACCCCGAGGCAAGTTTTTAGGGCGGTCCGGGCGTTTCGCCAGAGACTTTCTCACCATCCATGATTCTGAATCGTAGAAATTGGCAACCGGTTCACATATGGAGGGCGGGTCGTTTTCAAGATGTGGCTCTCGACCATTCGTTCCACAAATTAGCAAGAGCTTCAAGGATTGAGGATAATCAGTTTTCAGAGTGTGGTTCTTGCCTCAGCGCCGCGCACATTCGTTTAAAAAATTACAAGAGCTTTAAGGAGTGAGGGCGGCTCAATTTCAAAATGTAGTTCTCGCCTTAGTGCCGCGCACATTCGTCCATAAAATGTGCAAGAGTTTCACGGCTTCCCACGATCAACGTACCAGAAATGATGTGTTGGAAGGATTCAGGGTTTTGCGGGCGCAACAGTTACGTTGATTCGCGGTGTTGAAATCCCACGAATGGCGTTCTAGTATGATCCAGGATCGTCAAGGCGCAACAGTCAGGTTGATCCGTGGCATTGGATTCCCGAGAACAATGTTTTGGCATGCTGTCGGGTGTTCAAAGGGTTGTCTTCCAACGAGGCAGATCGATCCCTCAATGGAAATAAACCGTGGTACGGGCCTATGAAGAGGGAGCGTGGAGTGAGGGTGCATTCCAACATCGTTGATGGCTCTTGGGTTTACACTGGTTGTCCTCCTCCTCCTCCCCCTCCTCCTCCTCCTCCTCCTCAGCCGAACCGTGGGCACATGTGCCTAATCTGAAGCGACGTCGGCTGCAACCTCCTCTCCTCTCCTCTCCTCTGCTCCCCTCTCCTCTCCTCTCCTCTCCTCTCCTCTCCTCTCCTCTCCTCTCCTCTCCTCCTCCTCCTCCTCCTCCTCCTCCTCCTCCTCAGCCGAACCGTGGGCACGTTGTGCCTGATCTGCAGCGACGTCGACTGTCGCCTCCTCTACGAGATGGAGCCTGGGGACGGCGGGCAGTACGCGATTATGCCGCAGCACGCGGCCCTCGCGGCCGTCGGGGTCACGCCGACACTCGCGGCCGAACACGTCGCCTTTGTCACGCAGCCCAGGCGTTGTCGAACACGTGGTGTTCAGGATAATGACGGTCACGCCCGGGATCCTTGTCCTCTATCTCTTCACGCTCCTCACGCCCTTCTTTCTGATCAGGTTGGCGCTGGTAGTGGAGACACATCGGCAGCGGGGTTGCTGAAGTCCGTAGACATCGAGCGCTTGCTTGCCGCGTGCCGACACGCTTGTACGTCACCTTTGCATGAGAGCGGA